TGAGGAACGGGTTAGACCTCTCAGAGGGTCAACTCGGGCCAGGGTGAATAGGCTCGGTATTTCCGAGATGTCACCAATTTGTGACCTACTAGAGATGAGGAACGGTTAGGATGAGACCTCTCAGAGATGTCTACTCGTACGCACCAACAACGTAGTTTGAAGGGACCGAAAAATAGCTTACCATGGACCAATTGTCGAAACACGAGTGGTTGGAAAGACACGCGATGTGATCGATTGCCACGTCACGACCCTCCCTCGCCACGTACTCATCCACCGTAATAACAGTCTCGTTAGTGCCATAAGCCGGCGCGAGGCACGCCCTCATTCTAGGAACATCCACGATATTCTCCCAGCGCCAGCAGTAAGGCATGAAGGCCACGCCGCAGCTCTCGGTCGGAATAATCAGCGTGCGCTGCAGAAGCGCGGCGGCGATTAAGTAGTTCCGCAAGCACTGCTCCTGATTGGACAGCCGTCCGTACACGCACAGCGCGACAAGGTACCGGTTTTTCGGGGGCGACCAAGATTCGATCTGATCTTGAGATGAGTCGATCAGATTCGCGTACGGCGAGTTGATTCTAGTCTGCTTCGGCTTGTCGGCGCTGTTAGTACTAGCGGTAATATCTTTCGCTGCGGTTATTTCTATACGGGGGATGCGGGCTCCGTTACTGGGTCCGCTTTGCTTCGAAAGCGACACAATCTCTGCTAGAGCCCGTTCTCTAATCGTCTTTCGAATCGTACCGCCGCTGCCGCCACCGAAGCTGTTGCCACCGCCGTTGCTGCCGCCACCGCCGCGTCTCCCACTATCGCTCGAGCTGCTTCTGGCTTTCCAAGCCGCAGCATCGGTGCTTCCGCTTCCGTAGCGATCTGCCGCCGCATTGCTTACAGGTTGAATCTGAGCAGCAGGCTTTCCGCGAAGCGCGGCCCCAACCCTAGTCACTAGCGGCGAAAGCAAATCCTTCCACTTGACGTTTAAATTCGGGAAATGTGGTGGCAGGTATTCTTGCCGTGACGCGCTTCCACTGGAGCTTTCAACGCTGGTGCTTCCAGACGCCGCGGCGCCGACTGCGGCGCAGTTTACGCTGAGAAAAAGCAGCGACGCGGCGGCGACTCGGAGAAGTGTAGCGCATGAAGTACTACCCGCACTGGACAAAGCTGCACGCCGCGCCGCCTGCAGTTCTTCGGGCGATCGCCGAGCCGCCCTGCTTCGCCAAGTTCTCCCGGTCCGCCGCAGCAGCATGATCATCGTGACTTGCAGTTCTTCTCGAGACCCTTCTCCGAGTCGGTACTACCTGTTAGAGGGCCCTACGACAGCAAGGGCCCTCGATGACCTTTGACTTGGCAGGTCGGCGCCTAACGACTGAGTCTACTCGGCACCGACGCACGAGTTCGGTGGCGGTCATTAGTGACTACGGGTGACTGTGAGCTACTGCAGCGAACTCGGCGGAATCGGTGCTAGGAATGACGAGTCTTGGGGGTCGTAGGTGCCTTGCTTGTGAGGCACGCTGCTCACTTGCTGTGTTGGCAGGAGTAGCGTGCACGGTGAGACATTCCGGTGCCGAGTTGGGTTGGAAATGTGCGGGGCGCGTTCACCCACCTGCACAGCACTTTCGTGTGGGTTGGGTTACTCGCAGCGCCACGCAACAATTGTGCAACTCTTGCTTGCCTATATATGTTTGTGTTTGCTTGTGTGTTTGATAATTGATATTGCAATTCTACTTGGCCCAAATGCTACTTCAATTCTCACAAAGTCCTTAGAGGCAAACGCTACCAAAACTCTACCAAGTTGCTGGCGCAACATCATTCCCATAGCAGAGACTCTCTCGCTGGTGCGGTGAGCGTGGAACGAACACGCATAGATTTCCGTCGTCGTTGATATTCGCGTTCGTATACTCGCCTTGGCGTGCGGCGTTAGTGAAGGGCGCTTATTAATCTAAGTTGAACCTCTCTTGATTTCCCTCCAGTTACGTTCTCGGACCCAAGGATAGGGCGTTTGGTAATTTATTACCACTCGTCTGAGGACCCTTGTGAGGTGACCCCGAGATGAGGGATTTAAGGAAGGGGCACTTTATTTTAATTTGTGGTACCTTATAGAGACGTCGTAGAGGATGAGTACAGAGGAGGCGAACGTGGAGGCCGGTAATTTGCGCGCCCTAGAGGAGGATCTCGTGGCTCGTCATTCTCGTGGTGAGATTAGTGATATCGAATACGAGCTAATGTTGGAGGGATTGCGCTCGCGTCGGCGTCGTGAGCACCCTTTGCCACATGTAGAGAATGTTGAGCAAGTTGCGGGAGGTACTAGTGCGTGGGATATGGCTGTCGATGACGGAAATAGCGATGACGAGGAGTTTGATGGGTTGATGTCGCGTGGGGTCCTGCGAGGACCAACTCGGTTTAGTACGGCTAGCGTTGTCGGTGTACAGGAGCGTGTTCATCGTGCAGCAGCGTCACGAGAGCATGCGAATGTAGGACGGCGGAGCGTTGCTGGAGGAGGAATTGCGGAAGAGTTCGATAGTGAGGCTATGCCGGGCGTTACCCCGATTGGATCGATGTCGAGGGACGAGGGAATAGCCCCCAACTATGGCTACTTCAGATTCACTCCAGACAAGATCGTTGTCACTAGGCCGTTAGAAGGACGTCACGACCTGTCGACGTGGACAGAATCAATCGAGCCGCAGCTTGAGATCGCTCAGCTAAAGCGATTCATAGATGGCACCACCCCCATTCCACCAGCGCGTGCGCTTGCGCATCTCTCTCAGTTCCGCGCGATGCAGTTGCTGACATTCACCACCATTTCCCGATGCTGCTCCCCAACCGTACAGATTGCCCTTAAGGCGTGTCGCATGAAGGTCGATGCCGGCTATCAGGCATGGCAGTTTATTATGCGCACGTACATGGCGAAGGACGATCTGTACATCGGTCAGTTAGAGCAGGCGCTCACTAACCTCGAGATGGGAGAGCACGAGTCCGCTACGTCCTATTGCAACCGTGCGCAGCAGATCCTAGTGACCCTGAGGATGGCCGGCGTAGATTACTCGCAGGCGTCGTACATCACTCACGTTGTGAAGGGGTTGCCGCAGCAGTACAACCTCTTACGCAGGATGCTGAAGTTGCCGCAGGTTCGCAAGGAGTTGGACGAGGACACCCTCGCTAGCTACATCATCGAGGAGGAGTGTACGCTGGCGGCAGAGGGACGAAAGGACCAATTTCTTCCCCAGGCTAACCAGGTCTTTACCAAGAAGGGTAAGCCCCAATTCCAGCAGACTTCATTCCCTTCCCCTCCCACTACGGCACAGCAGCAGCAGCCTAAGAATGGGGGTGGGCTTGGTGGGGGAGGGGAGAAGTGGAAAGGGGGTAAGGATGGCCAGCCGAAGGGGGGGAAAGGGGGCTTCAAGGGGAAGTGCTATGTGTGTGGACAAATAGGGCATGTTGCTAAGTACTGTCAGCAGCGGGCGGATAAGGAGGCAGACACCGGTGGAGAGGGTTCTGGAGGTAGCAGCGGAAAGGGGGGTGATGGCTCTAAGGGGAGCGGGCAGTCATCATGTGCGATGGTGAAGCCAGTTGTGGAGCAGACTCCTCTCGTTGTGCTAGAGCCTGAGGCCGGGGAGGGCTTACAGGCTGTTGCAGCTGCTGTGAAGGCGAACCCGAGCGTCGTGCTGCTTGATAGCGGATGCTCCCACCATCTCATGGGAGATCGTTCTGCCTTTGTGGAGATGAGCAGCGGCGGCAGCATTAAGCAGGTTACCGGCTTCAACGGCGCCCTTCAGGAGGTGCAGGGGCGAGGCACAGTCGCTCTTCTTGGGGAGGGGGGCAGGCGTGTCTTGGTGCCGGACGTGCTGTACGTACCAGGAGTGCAGGCGAGTCTTCTCTCTGCTGGGCAGCTGCGTGATAGTGGTGTGCAGCTGCTGGATGCCAGGGATGTGACTTTGCTGCGGGCACCAGATGGATCGCTCCTTGGTCGTGCGGAGTTCAAGGGGCGTGTTCTCTGCACGAACTTCCAGCCGTGTTCGACGCAGCAGCAGGAAGGCGAAACGGTGGCACTTCGTACCTTGGCGACCGGCGTACGGTCTAAGGGGGACCTGTGGCATGCGCGTATGGCACACGTTGGTATTGATGCCATCGAGCGCACAGCGGCTCACGGGTCAGTGAAGGGCTTGGATTTGGAGAAGGGGGGCAAGTCAGGCATACCTTGTGTCTCCTGTGTTGGGGGAAAGATCACTCGTCATACCTTTCCTTCTGTGGGAGAGGAGGAGGATGAGTTGCTCGGGGTGGTGCATGCTGACCTGTGTGGCCCTTTCCGTGAAGCAGCTAAGGACGGCAGCCGCTACTTCTTGGTGCTGAAGGATCGCAAGACGCGATATGTCTGGGCCTACCCTTTGGCCCAGAAGAGTGATGCGCTGGCGGCGTTCCAGAAGTGGCTCCCGATGGCAGAGCGACAGTGCAAGACCACGGTGCAGGCGCTGCGCACTGATCGGGGTGGCGAGTTCCTGGGGCACGACTTCACGCTCTTCCTCGACGGTAAAGGCATCATCCATGACCTCACATGCCCGTACACGCCGGAGCAGAACGGGATGGCCGAGAGGGAGATGCGCAGCATTGTGGAGGCGGTGCGGACGATGTTGCTGCACATGGGTGTGCAGCATCACTGGTGGCACCTGGCGTTGGCTCAGGCCGTCTGGGTGCGCAACCGCGTGGAGCACGCCTCACTACCCTCTGGTGTGACGCCGTACGAGCTCGCCTTTCGACGCAAACCCGATGTCAGTATGGTGCATGTCTGGGGCTGCATGCTGCAGTACATGGTGCCGCAGTCGCAACGTGGGGGGAAGCTGGCGCCCAAGGCTCGCTGGGGGTTGCACTTGGGGGTGTCAGCAGCGAGCAAGGGCTGGACCGTGCTGGACTTGGAGTCCAACCGCCTCATCACCACTGTGGAAGCTGTGTTCTATGAGACCATGTCTTTGGCAGGATGGAAGGCTTGGCATCAGCAGGAGCATGGGGGGCGTCCGATGCCCTATGAGCCCCTTCCCTCTTTCTTCCCGATCGCTCTAGAGGAGGTGGAGGAGGAGGACGTGGTCGCACCTCCTGCTATGCCCTATGTCCCTACCTCGGTCCCCACCCCACCTCCGCCTTCAGTTTACCCTCGTGTGGTTCCCCCTGCCCCACCTTCTTCATCCTCACCCCTCTTGGCTTCCCCTCCTCCTCCTATTATCCCCTCTCCCCTTCCACCCTCCATCCCTCCTACACCTGCTCCACCCTCCTCTTTGTCTTCCACGGCACCGCCCGTTGGTGAGGGGGGGATAGTGGTGCCGCCGTCCATGGTGATCACCGACGGGCAGCGCCTTGTGACTGAGCAGCTGCAGGATGAGAGTAGTATGGATGGAGTGCAGCAGAGTGGGGGGATGGAGATAGGGGAGCAGCAGATAGAGGTGCAGCAGAGTGGGGAGCTGCAGATAGGGGAGGAGCAGATTGGGGACCAGCAGATGGTGGACCAGCAGCCAGGGGAGCAGCAGACAGGGGAGCCGCAGACGGGGGAGCAGGAGATGTGGGGAATTAGAGATGGTGGTCGTGTGTTGGTTTCTGGGACGACCACTGCACCACTGCGTCGCTCCACTCGCATCACTCGTGGTGTCCCGCCTGTTCGATACGCTTGGGCTGTAGTGGTTGAGCCAGCGGGCTTGGATGACGAGGAGGAGGACGAGGAGTGGACTGACCTGGACCCGGACGTGGCAGCTGACCCTGAGAGGCAGTGGGACATAGCGAAAATGATAGTGAAGGAGGCCTTGGGCTGCTGGAAGGGAGACAAGGTGAAAGAGGCGATGGATGAGGAGATGCGGAGCTTGATTGAGCAGGGGACGTGGGAGTTGGTTCCGCGTCCGCCAGGGGTGAATGTGATGAAGAACCGCTGGATTTTGAACACCAAGTTCCGACCAGATGGGATAGTGGAGCGTGAGAAGGCGAGGCTGGTGGTGAAGGGGTTCACGCAGGTGGCAGGGGTGGACTATGAGGAGACGTACGCCCCTGTGGGAAGCTATGTGACGGCGCGTGTGCTTCTGGCGATTGCAGCTGCACTTGATTTGGACCTGATGCAGCTGGATGTGAAGAACGCGTTCCTCCATGGCGTGCTAGACCGAGACCTTTACATGGAGCAGCCGAGCTACTACAAGGATGGGACTCCTCGTGTATGTAAGTTGGTGAAGAGCCTGTATGGGCTCAAGCAGAGCCCGATGTTGTGGTATGAGGCCTTGGATGGGGTGCTGCTTGGGGCTGGATGGAAGAAGAGCCAAGTGGATGAGGCTCTGTAATTCAAGAGTGATGCTGAGGGGGAGATGTGCTGGCTGCTGGTGTATGTGGATGACTTGCTTGCTGCCAGCCGCAGTCAGAGCATGCTAGCGGAGCTGCGTGACCTGCTGCAGAGTGCCTTTCAGCTGCGGGAGATTAGCCCTGTGGAGAAATATCTGGGGTTGCAGCTGATTCGGGACAGGCCCACGAGGAGGCTGTGGCTGCACCAGGGGGCCTATGTGGACAAGGTCCATAGGCGCTTCTTTGATGGGGAGAAGCCGCTGCGAGTGCCTCGCACCCCTCTTTCCTCTGACCCTTTCAGTGTGCAGACCTTCGAGGATGTGGGATGGCAGTCTCGCCAGGAGGAGGAGTACAGGCAGAAGGTGGGATCCTTGCAGTTCGCGGCCTGTACCACCCGTCCCGACATCTCGTTCGCCTGCAGCAAGCTGGGGTCGGGCCAGACTGTGCGGAGTGATCAGCACTGGAAGGAGTTGGACCGGTGCTTGACGTACTTGGTGGGAGCAGGGATGTGGCGCTGGAGTTTGGTGGGGGGCCGGAGTCCTTGGAGCTGGTGGGCTACGCCGATGCTGATGATGCGGGAGACAAGCAGAACAGGACCAGCACTGGTGGCTATGTCTTCGTGCTCGGGGGTGCTGCTGTCTCTTGGGCGAGCCAGAGGATTCGTTGCGCCACCCTCTCCTCCACTGAGTCTGAGTATGTTGCTGCTGTGGAGGCTGGGAAGGAGGCGCGCAGGCTGCGCTTCCTGCTGGCGGAGTTTCAACTGCTGAGGAGTGAGGAGCCCACTACTCTCTTTGTGGACAACTCCTCCGCCATTTCAGTGGCAGGTGGCATGGGGCTCAAGGGGAGCCTCAAGCACATGGAGCGTCGTCACATGTGGCTGCAGCACATGGTCAAGCGCAGGAAGCTGCAGCTGCAGTACATCCCTACGAGCGAGCAGCCTGCTGACTACCTCACAAAGGCATTGCATTTCCCCGCCTTCAGTCGTTGCTTCGAGGCTGTGGGGCAGGTGCGGCTCTCGAGCGAGGGGAGTGAGACCTAGACACTCCATGATGTGGATGGTGCCATGGCCTATCCATGGCTGGTGCGGTGCGTGTTTACACTTTGAGCGTGTTTCGTTTGTGTGTATCCCTTTGTTTTGGTGTGTATGTGTGTATGCATGTCCTGTGATTATAAAGGGCCTTGCTGTAGTATGGCAGGGGAGTGTTAGAGGGCCCTACGACAGCAAGGGCCCTCGATGACCTTTGACTTGGCAGGTCGGCGCCTAACGACTGAGTCTACTCGGCACCGACGCACGAGTTCGGTGGCGGTCATTAGTGACTACGGGTGACTGTGAGCTACTGCAGCGAACTCGGCGGAATCGGTGCTAGGAATGACGAGTCTTGGGGGTCGTAGGTGCCTTGCTTGTGAGGCACGCTGCTCACTTGCTGTGTTGGCAGGAGTAGCGTGCACGGTGAGACATTCCGGTGCCGAGTTGGGTTGGAAATGTGCGGGGCGCGTTCACCCACCTGCACAGCACTTTCGTGTGGGTTGGGTTACTCGCAGCGCCACGCAAAAATTGTGCAACTCTTGCTTGCCTATATATGTTTGTGTTTGCTTGTGTGTTTGATAATTGATATTGCAATTCTACTTGGCCCAAATGCTACTTCAATTCTCACAAAGTCCTTAGAGGCAAACGCTACCAAAACTCTACCAAGTTGCTGGCGCAACATCATTCCCATAGCAGAGACTCTCTCGCTATCGCTACGCTCTCTAATATATATACTACCGACTAATAACGCGGCGACTCTCGGAGAAAGCGAAGTTCGTCGTGGGACGACGGCAGCTAGTAGTAGTTGTAGGGATGACCGAGCGGTGGGAGGAAGCTGTGACACAGAAGAAGAGGGAGCAGGTAGAGTCGACAGGCAAATCACAACTTCCGCAAGCTCTGAATTATGTCCATCTGATAATTTAGAGGTGTGCCTTGACCTGCAGCCACCTGCTAGCATTTTCCGCTTCCGAGGCATTTCGGGCTTCGTAACGAAGTGACTTCCAAGCAAGTTCGTGGCCGTGCCAAAGTCTTTGGAGGAAATCGCACGGGGGAGAATGAAGCATCGCCGCCCACAGTCGCAGAAAGTCGATATGCGGTCGCTATTTACGAAGTCAGTTGTCCAAAACAGCATGAAACTTCCTCCTTAGAAATTGTCACAGCTCGCATGAGCGTGGCCGCCGGCGAGAACCACGCGGCGCAGGTGAATCGAGAGGCGTGACTTATGAATGCCAAATAGGAGAGCAGGTCTAGCTGCCTGCCGCCAAGATAGGCAGTTGGCTTCAGGTTGGGAGAGTCTACTGTACCGTATACTACACGCATACGGTCCCCTGAATTCCAATTTTACCAGGTGTATTTCAAGCATATGCTGCAGCAACAGAAGTTTGCACTGACTCGTTACGGGAACCAATGAAGGCACGCCCACCACGCACCACCGCACCACACATTCCATACCTACAAATGCACCACCGCACATCTCATATCGACGACACATGCGAACCCCACACATCCCATCCCACAAAATCCAACCCATTGCCCCAAATCCACCGCTCACACACACAGTCACACCCGAGGCGAGAGCGGGGCTGTTGATAGGTTTGGGGGCACCCAAACGAAATCGAAGGCCTGAGTTCGGGTTTGGTCCAAAAGATGGCTACTGTAGCTTTCAGAACCTCATTCCTAATTGTAAGGAATTTTCTCGGGGAGAATATGCCATTCGTAACCATCATGGGACTCGATAACATCTTTTGTAAAAAAATATAGGGTACGGTCACTGCAAAGGGTGTTTTCACGCGACTGATAAAACGTTTCACGTACTCAGTCACGATCAAGTGGTAAAAAAAAATGAGAATGGTCATAGATGAAACTCCCACCAAAACAAAATGAAACCCCGAAAGAACCTGGATGCATTTTAGGATGAATCAACCCTAAGCACACAACTCTCCAGGTGTTGTGTTTAGGGTTGATCAGTTCCCAAACCGTGATTGGGTTTTAGTTTTTTGGGTTGCGTAGCAACCTTATACATTCGTTTTCACTTTTCGATCCTGAGTATTCAATGCATACCAGCCATGCAATGTACTTCTGAAACATGACACAAGAGCAGGCAGTGTGTCATCACATAACCCAAAAACTTCCCTCGATCGCAATCCGCATCTCTCTTTCCCCATCCCCACTTCAACCACAGACATCCATTTTTCCCTATGTGTTGCCCCACTCACGAAGAAGCACATGAGTAAAAGAACCCAAATGCAACACACATAGAACCCCCCCTCAAGATACCCAATCAAAACGCCGAGTCAAGACACCCCATCAAGACATCCCATCCCACACCCCACCCCCCCCCCCCCCCTTCAATCACAACAGCGTATCGACCATGTACGGGGCCTCTACCCAGAGAGCCCCGCCTTCCACATCGACATCGTCCCTCTCCCGGTCCACCAAATCTACGTTAATCCCCCCCATGGAAGACGCCGCTCGAAGCAGGATGACACGGGCTTGCGCACGTTGTAACGCCACCCCGATGAGCGCCTTCAGTGACCCTAAAAGATAAGCCGAAAACACAGAGTCGTCCTCTCGACAAGCCCCCCGCGACACAGCTAGCCCCACGTGCGCATCCCCCTGCTGACGAAGCCACCGCTGAAAACGACCGCCGAGACACCCCCACGTCTCAACTATCAAAGGGGTGAACTGCACGCCCCGGTTGCGTGCAAGCAGAGGCGCGTAATCACTCGTTTTGCGACGCTCCCACTCCCTTGCCGCCACACCTATTTGACGCCCGCACTGTCCCAGCAGTGATGGAGACAGCGATAGCGGGTCCGCGACGCTGATCTCTAGGGCGTGAGCCTCTCCAGCCATTGGTCGTCGCACCGCCACATCAACCCGCTTCCCCTGCAGCACCACACTATCCTCCATTGTCACCACCCCCCCCGACGCCTTAGAGATCTTCGCCACCGCAAACTTCACCTCATCATGCACCCGAGATGGACCATGCTGGTGCTTGCATCTCAGGGCATGGTGCGGGTCTGCTGGGTCAACATACGCTGTGCCACAAACACACCTTCCCGCCACCTGCAGCTGCTGAATTGGGAGGCCAAGCCGTATAGCAGCAGCGATGCCCCACTCAGCCGCAGTGAATGTGAGATCTGAGTGAGCCAGAACCGCCGAAACCCATGCACCCGCCCCCGGGCCCTGAAGGGATGTGAAACGGGCCAAGGTAGCATCATCACGAGCCAAGCGGCGTAGTGCCTGGAGCTCCTCTACAGCTAACTACCGCTGCCGCGCCTGGAAAAGCCGAACAGGAGGGGCCGCTACACACAGAGGTAAGCCCGGTATCTCGTGGCGGATAGTCGCTGGCAGCTGCTCAAGAGCCTTGACAAACCACGGGTCAAGAAACTCTGCCCCTGTCGAAGTGGTGAGGTACTCTGCAAACATCGCCTCCTCACCCGCCACCCCTAACTGTGCAATGTCACGCGCGGCCTGCGCCCACCCACAAACATAGGACAGTGGGCTCAAAGAGGCCGCCGCCCGGATCCCGAACCCTCCGTTTTCACTTTTCGGTTGGCTGATGTGAACAGTGAATTTCTTCTATAAATTTTGAAAGAAATCACTGTTCACATAGCTTCCCCAAAAAATAAATGTTTCCAATCATTCCATAATCGTCGATAAGTACGGCGAATGGAACAGTTGGAGAATCGTTTTAGCACTAAAGATGATACGGTACCCAATGACACACGAACACAGGACAACACAAAAAATACAACAGTACCACCGAGAGACATACATACACAAATGACCACAAAAACGATGGTGTACAAGAACCGTCTTACATGTTTTGAAGGGAATACTAAATGCATCTATGCAACAACTGAGACTGATATGGTACGGAAGAGGCGAGCAAAGCTGCCCCACCAACGATCACAATCCCAGTTGCATACACGAGACACTTAGCACCACACCCCCAAAACAAGCACAGACGATAACACATAAATGATTACTAAAACACAAGACAACGTTTAAGAAAGTTTCAAAGCGAATGCTAAATGCATCACTGCTGCAACTGAGATTGATATGGTACGGAAGAGGCTAGCAAAGCTGCCCCACCGACGATCACAATCCGAGTTGCATTCAGGAGGCACTTAGCACCACACCCTGAAGCACGCACAACACACATATGCACATGTACGCACTCACACACATACAGGCTCACACATATACAGAGACACACAACGCAGAAACATACAGCTACTGTAATAAGCATGCAAGCATAATGAATGAATTTCAGCCTTGTATAAATTATCACTATCCTGTCCCCCGTTCCCCTCCCTCCCTCCCTCCCTCCCTCCCTCCCTCCCTCCCTCCCTCCCTCCCTCCCTCATTTCCCTCATCTCCCTTCTCCCCATCCCTTTTCTCCGCAAGAAACAAAGGCTGCAGCTTGAACTCCCTGCACAGGAAAGAAAAATCAGGGAATGCAACTCACTCCCTGCACAAACAAGAACAAAATCAGAGAATACAACTTGCATTAATAGCACAAGAAAACAAAATCAGAGAATTCAGCTTCATTGATGCACTAAAAAACAAAGTAAGCGCAACAGAAATTCACGCGCAAACTCCCACGTTCTCTCACGCGCTCCCTCATGCGCAAACTCGCGCGCTCTATCGCGCGCACTCTCCCACGCGCTCTTTTGCACACACTCTTGCGCGCTCTCTCTTGCGCACTCTCACGCGCTCTCTCGTGCACTCTCTCGCGCACTCTCTCGCGCACTCTCTCACACACTCTCACACGCTCCCTCACGCGCTCTCTCACGCGCTCCCTCACGCGCTCTCTCACGCAATCTCTCATTCGCACTCTCACGCGCACTCTCACTCACGCGCTCCCTCGCACGCTCTCTCAGGCGCGCTCGCTCTCACGGGCTCTAACACGCACTGTCACGCGCTCTCTCACGCGCTCTTTCACGAGGAGAGCAAAAAACAAACAAACAAAAGAAGAAGAAGAAGAAGAAGAAGAAGAAAGTTTTTTCAGAGGGAGGAGGGAGGATGAAAGAACCGGGAACGCACCAGATAACCACGGTAACTCAGAAAACAACCCGGGCTCGCGCACCAATCCGCGCTCGCGCACCAACTCACGCTTGCGCTCGTGCACCTGTCGCCGGAGGCGACGGCGGGGAGGAGGAAGAGGCGACGGCGGGGAGGAGGGAGAGGCGACGGCGGGGAGGAGGGAGCGGCGACGGCGGGGAGGAGGGAGAGGCAACCGCGTGGAGGGAGAGGGGACGGCGGGGAGGAGGGAGAGGCGACGGCGGGGAGGAAGGAGCGGCGACGGCGGGGAGGATGGAGCGGCGACGGCGGGGAGGAGGGAGAGGTGACGGCGGGGAGGAGGGAGAGGCGACGACGGGGAGGAGGGAGAGGCGACGGCAGGGAGGAGGGAGAGGCGACGGCGGGGAGGAGGGAGAGGCGACGACAGGGAGGAGGGAGAGGCGACGGCGGGGAGGAGGGAGAGGCGACGGCGGGGAGGAGGGAGAGGCGACGACGGGGAGGAGGGAGATGCGACGACGGGGAGGAGGGAGAGGCGACGACGGGGAGGAGGGAGAGGCGACGACGGGGAGGAGGGAGAGGCGACGACGGGGAGGAGGGAGAGGCGACGACGGGGAGGAGGGAGAGGCGACGATGGGGAAGTAAGGAAGAGGAGATCGCGGTGTGGGACTGAGTGACTGTGAGGTGAATAGGAGAGGTGAAGGCGGGTAGTGAGGGAGAGGATACGGCGGGATGGGAGCGAGAGCGACGGCTGGGTGGGAGAACTGGCGAGAAATTGGGGTGGGGGGAAGGAAGAGGAATAAGAGCAGAGCAGGTGTGCTTGTCGAGTCGAGAGGAACCAGAACAAAAGAACCAAGAAAAGAGCGCAGAAATTGAGTTGACAGCTGTGAAAGGGACGGATGCCAGCGCAGACATAAAATTTCTGCCAGTGCAGAATGAGAATTTCTGCCAGCGCAGAACAAGACAATTTCTGCCACCGCAGAACGATACAATTTCTGCCAGCGCAGAACGAAGCACCATATACGGTGTCCTGTTTTAAGTTAAAATGAAGAACTTAATTAATTGCTTCTTTAAGCAAAATATGATTATATTGTACTCTTTCATAATGTTCCTTATACACGGAATACAGCTTTACGCAACCCTTCCGACGTCAACGTCGAGTCTTGTTTTTAGAAGTTAGCAGATTGGTTGGGCGCGAGCGGGAATTTTGTTGAGTTTCAAGTTTTTTTGGCGGGAGTTACATGTGTGACCATTTCGCGTCGAAATGGCGAATTTCAATTTCGCGCGCGCGGGTTTTTTTTTTCGGGCTGCTCGAAAAATTTTTGCCCAAGCGTCTAGCGTTTAGACGCTAGACGCAAGTCGGGATGAGCGTCTTCCGCAACTAAGGTTTATAGGTACCTATGTCGATGCAATTCCCCCTCCTTGGGTGAACATAGTCGATGACATATGGATCTTAGTACCAGCGTCCCTAGCACCAGCAACCTTAGTACCAGCACCTCCAGCGTCAGCACCCCCATAACCAACCCCTCAAGTGGCAGTACCTCCATAACCAATATCTACGGCGTCAACAACCTCCACAGCTGCACCTCCTACACCCCCAGGGACTGGAGTGACCGGCCGCTGCGACGACAATTGCTGCGGCTGCAACGAAGGCTGCTACGGTGACTGTGAGGACGAGGACAACGGAGACTGCGGGGTGACGTGTGACACACCAGACGGTCTAGGACATGAGGGAGAGGGGGCTACCGGAGGAGTGGGACTAGGAGAAACAAGGGGGCGGAGGGTACCAAAGTACCTTAGTGGGGGTGACGAGTGTAGAAGCAAACAGACTCGTCGAAGGCGACGTCTTAAGAGGTAAAGAACCGATGACAAGCGGGGTGGTAAAACTGCTAGGGAGGAGCGTCGATAGGGAAACCAAGGAAGATAGAAGCGGTGGTGCGGGTTAAGAGCTTGTCCGCCCCAGAGGTGCGGATGTGAGCAAGTCAAACACAGACGCGAAACGCAGCCGCAACAACAGGGGACCCAACCCAGAGACACCTACGGGCGCGAGACCCAGGGCCACGGGTTAAGCTGGTGCGCGGCGTATCAGACCGCGAAAGGCCACAGAAAATGGGGTGCATTGGCATGGCACATGTGTGTGCGAGCGACACCAGCTATTGCAGCAGGCGTCGTCGCCGCGTGTGTCTCCATTTGCCTTCATGGCCCTACGTTTCCTCCAACAGTCTTGTCTCTCACTCGTCTTCCTCCGCGTTCAGAGCTGTCTCCTCTATTTTTTACTCGACTCCTGTCTCTTACCACTGGGTCCGTCATCCCTCGCGTGCTTGCCTCGTGTCTCCCCTTCCCGGTATCCAGTCTATGCTCCTCCGTTCTTGTCCCCCTTGTGTTCCACCATCCTCTGTTCTCCCTTCGCCTCCTTCGTTGTCCCTTGCTGACTCCTCTCCTTCGTTCTCTAACCTCTTACGTGCCGCTCGCCCTACAGTCTCTCGTGTCCTTTCCTCCCTCGTTACCGGCCCCATTGCTCCTCCTCCGTCCGTCTCTGCTTTTATCGCTGCTATTGCTAACTTTGCCTCCACCCGCCGCCTTGACTACGCCACTCAGTTGGTCTCTACTCTTGCTCATCCTCTGTCCGTTGGGGGTACTTCTACCCTTCGCAATGACGTCATAGTGGACATGATGTATGAGCTGGCTTTCCTTGCGGCCACTACTCCTCATCTTTGTGCCATGCTGGAAGCCCCTGAGAGTGACCACGACGCTCTTGACATCCCGACCCCTTGCACTTACGCTGAGGCATTCTTGGGACCCTGGGCCTCTCAGTGGATAGCATCCATGGACGCAGAGATGGCATCTTGGAGGTCCACATGCACCTACGTCGACACAGTCCCCCCTCATTGGGCAAAATTCGTCGATGGCATGTGGATCTTCAAGGCGAAGCGGCCACTTGGAGAGCCGCATATCTTCAAGTCACGCTATGTGGCCAAAGGGGGTACGTGCTACAAGGTTTATTTCATCAAGAGGGGTAGACTTCTTTCATACCTTCTCCCCCTCCCCAAAGATGACCACTCATCGGGTACTGCTGCATATCGCAGCGCAGCGCGATTACGAGCTTCATGCGCTTGACTTCTCTACTGCCTTTCTCCAGGGCAGCCTGCATGAGCAGATCTTCCTCTGCTGCCCACCTGGCTTTACTAGGCCCTCTCCTCTTGGGACCCATTGGAGCCTTCAATAGCCCATCTATGGTCTGTGGAAGGCTCTTCGCGGGTGCACGACACACTGCGCACTACTCAGACTGACCTCTGCTTCTTCCTGTCCTCAGCTGACCGGTCTCTCTTCATTCTCTCTAGCTCTACTCCGTTCTACATGCTAGTCTACGTTGATGACCTTGTCTCTAGACACAGTCGTACTAACGTCAGTGAAGGCCGAGCTGCTGAGGAGACACGCTTGCACTGACCTAGGTGAGTAATGCCGCTATCTTGGCCTAGAGATCTCTAGGGACAAAGCAGCGCGCACCATCACTCTCACTCAGTCACACATGACCTCTGCTTCGTCCAGTCTTCAGCTGAACCGTCTCTCTTCATCCGCTCTGGCTCTAATCCAGTCTACATGCTAGTCTATGTTGACGACATTGACTCTAGACGCAGTCGCACTAACCTCAGTGAAGGCTGAGCTGCTGAGGAGACACGCGTGCAGTGACCTAGGTGAGTTATGCCGCTATATTGGCCTGCAGATCATTAGGACAAAGCAGCGCACACCATCACTCTCACTCAGTCACACATGGTGCAGCAGATCCTCCACATAGCCTACTCCTCTAACCGTTCGCCATATAGTCTCGTCGCTTGTGCCTAACATGCCTGGTGAGACCAGTGGTCAGTACGCAAAGCTGGTGGGGTGCCTCATGTACCTGATGACCTGCACACGCCTAGATCTTGCATATCCTCTCAGCATCCTTACTTGCTTTGTTGCGACTGGGAGACACCGACCTGAGCATTGTCGACTTCTAAGAGGGTATTGCACTATCGAGCTAGTACATCAAGCATGGAGCTTGTGCTCGGAAGACGATAGCTAGTGCACACATGGGACACACTAACACGTCGTGGGTGGACAACATCGAGACTCTCAGGTCCTCTCAGGGCTACAGCTCCAGTCGTGGCGCCGGAGCTATCTCGTGGGGGTCCTCTAGCTGGTCGTCAGTGACATCCAGCTGTGAGGCAGAGATCTGTGTTGGTGCTATGGCTACCCAAGAGCTCCGTTAGCTGACGTTCTCACTGACTGACTAACTTAGGTGAGCCGCCTAGCTCTGCCCTGGTCCTGTTCGCTGATAGCAGGGCCATGATCCTCCTGTGTTAGGAGCCTAGACTATAGGGAAGAGCGAAGCATGTCCATTTTCAGTACATATTGTTGCGTGAGTTGCAGCAGCACGGCCAGGCACCGTAGTATATTTGGCCTCAAGGCCAACACCGCTGATATCTTCACTAAGTTGCTTCCACTTGGTGATCATCAGTGGCTTTGCACAAAGCCTGGCCTTGCCCCCGCATCACCGTACCTGGTCTCGTACACTGTACAATTTTGTTTTATTATACTCACAAACTGGCCTTGTGGCCTTTTGTCTCAGAAGCTGGCCGCTCATCCCTCATACCTCTGCCGGCTCCCGCTCGTGAGTAACCCTGGCATTCCCATCCCGCAATTACCACATCGATCCTCCCCCACTGCTGTAGCTGATGCTCATCTATCCCGCATATGTCACATGCCCCACACTGCAGACTTCTCTCCAACGTCACCGCGCAAAACTGGTGCGCTATCTCTTGTGCAGCTTGTCCGCGTGAGCCACCGCCATCTTAGCCGCCTGCATGTCGCTTTCCACCAGGATCCATTTCTCCTCACTTACCCCCGATTTCAGCACTCCCGCCAGCCCGGTTCCTATGCCCCCGAAGAGGTATAGCATGACGGTAGGCCCCAAGAGCCTCTTGGTGTTGGTGCATAGCGCCTTCAGGTCTACGTCCCCTTCGTTCTGCTCCAGCGGCACCGACGGCATCCGCGTGATCTGCTGCCAGGTCGGGATGCCCAGCTCTTCGCGCAATTCCGCCTCAGAGCACTAGTATGCCTCTCTTGGCTCCCTCCGCACGAAGCGCACCAGTAGCGTGCCGATGGGTCCATCATCTTCCCAGTAGCACACCTGATACTGCACCTTCTCTTCCCACATGCATATGGTGGCTCCTATCCCGAACAGGCACTCCACCCCAATGAGCAAATCGAAGTCTTCCGATTCTGACACCCCGCAGTACACCCGCAGCGCGCACTCCTCTGTGGTTCCCGGATTTAGCATCAATGCCATCGATTGCCTGGTCTTGGGCATCCACTTCGCCTCTCCGCCGTCCGCGGTCATCAGCAACTAGCCTTCCGCGATCAATCGCCCCGGCTTGTGCAGCTGCAGCTTTTCCGCCAGGCGTTTGCTAATGAGCACGTCGCGGCCCCCGTGTCTACTATGGCCCGCTGCTCCGTGAAGCCTCCAATCGTGATCGCGCCTGCCGCTAGCGTCAAGACTGTAGCTTGGCATGTCATTCTCTCCCGCTGATGTCGGTAAGCTGCCCCTTGTACTTCCGCGCTCTCACTCGCTCGCCTTCTCGGTCCATCTTTCCGCCGCACATCTTCTAGGAATACCAGCCTCCGCAAGGCCCTCTGCAAGCCCAATTCGTCTCGATCACGGGCTGGCTGTGCCATCAGCATAAATTCCGGCTCATCCGCCTCCTCCTCTTCCTGTGCCACCATGGCTGGCTGCTTCTGTTCTGCCGCCTCCAATTCCGACAGCTGCGCCCGCAAGCGTGCCATGGTAGCTTGTCGATCCTCTCCTGCGTCCATCCCCCAGCGTTCCCTCCGTCCAGTGTAGCAATCTGCCTCGCGATGGCCTCTTCGCCCGCATC